AACCAGTAATCCATAAATTTAATATCAGATTAGCTGGCTGGAAAGCTGCATCATTATCGATGGCTGGAAGATTGGTGTTGGTGAAGGCGGTATTGTCATCCTTACCGATTTTTCCCTCTCTATTTTCAAGATTCCGTTTAAGGTGAATCAGAAGTTGAATTCTTTGATGGCTAAATTCCTTTGGGGAGAAGATCAAGTAAAGAAACGGATTCATTGGGTTAATTGGAAAACGGTTTGTCAACCTTATGAGGAAGGTGGCTTAGGAGTCTTGGATTTGAACTTGACCAATAGAGTGTTACTTGGGAAATGGGTTTGGAAGTTTGCAAATGAAAAGAACTCTCATTGGAAAAAGATGATTTGTTGCAAACACAATATCAACAATTTATCTTTATCTATAAATAAGGCTGTTACTCCTCATGATTCATGGATTTGGAGAGGAATGTTGAGTAACTACGAGAAAAAGGATTATATAGGGGATTGTTTGAGATCTAATTCGAGGATACAAGTGGGGAATGGTAGGTCAATTGCATTCTGGAATATGTTTGGGTTAATAATTCACCTTTAAAAAATCAATTCCCTAGGATTTTTGCTTTATCGATTAATAAATGGGGAAAAGTTGTTGATTTTGGTTGCTGATTTTGGTTGCTACGAAAGCAATTGTTGGATGGAATATTCAATTAAGGAGGAATTTATGCGATTGGGAACTGGATCAGTGGATTTCTTTAATGTCACTGCTTGATAATATTGTTTTGGTTGATTCAGTTGATGACTTTCTGGCATGGTCCGACAAAGGTGTTGGTTTGTTCTCGGCAAAGTCTTGTAGAATGACTCTTTCTGGCAGTTCTGGAGGGAATTTTCAGTGGAATAAGTGGGTTTGGTCTGGATTGGCTCCTCCTAGAGTTGAAACATTTCTCTGGCAGCTATCTCATCAGAAATTAGCTGTTAGAGTAGAGTTGAAGAAAAGAGGGGTTCCCTTGGATGATGTTCTATGTCCTTTATGTCTTAAGGATGAAGAAACAATTGAACATCTTTTTATTTTATGTCCTGTTGCAAGGGAACTGTAGAATAGATTCTTAAGGTCATGGGATTTATCTTTAGTTTTGCCTAAAGATCCCTTGTCCCTTTTCTGCTCTAGGTCTTTTATAAAGGTTTCTTCTTCAATCTGGAAATTTATCTCGGGAGTTGTTTTGTGGTCTTTATGGAAGGCTAGGAATTCTGTGGTGTTTGAAAATGGGATTTGTGACAGGTCTTCACTGTTCTTCATTTGCAGTTTTAGGCTGGCCAAATGGTATTTAGCTAAATTTCCTAATGACAATATTCAGGCTGATTTATTAGTTGGGGATCCAGTGCTTGCAGACAATATTTATGTTAAATCATCAACAAAAAAAAAGGGTTCTTTGTTGGACACCACCTCCACCTGAATTTTTTAAATTCAATGTGGATGGGGCAGTTAGAGGTGATGGTATGCAGGGTGGAATTGGAGGATTATTGATAGATTCGAATTCTTCGACCTTAATCACTTTTTCTACTGTTGTGGGACCAGAACCACCTACATTTGCTGAGTTGAAAGATATTAAAGAAGGCATAGACCTATTTCTTTCCACCGAATGGGTGTTGAAGGGTAGGCTTATTGTAGAGAGCGATTGTAAAATAGTTGTGGACTGGATTTTGAGGCCTGTTACTGCCCCTTCGTTTTTAGTTCTTTGGTTGGGGATATTGGGGCCTTACTTTCTGCTAGGGATATTATGATTACATTGATTTCTAGGACTTGTAATTGTGAGGCTGACAAGTTAGCTAAGGAGGGAATTGGTTGATTGTCTTTAGCTCTAGTGGGTTCTGGTCAGTTTTTTAACTTTGGGTGTTTATTATGTAAGCTGTAATCTTATGTAATTATGGTTTATTAATCTATTGAGGTACTCTTTTCCTCCTTCCGCTAGTTGCCTCTTCTCAAGAGGCAACTATGAGGGAGGTTTTTAATGAGACCTCCTATTCCTACAAAAAAAATATAAATTTATTTTATTCATTATTTATTAATATTTATGTTTGATTATTTTATATAAAAAAATAGAATTATGTTCATTTATGATTTGTTTGTTTATCAGTCATGAGTAGATTTTTAATTGTTCGCAAGCATGTTCAATTATATGTTCATGAACATGTTTGTTTAATGTTTGCGAACATGTTCATGAACATTTAACGAATGGGCATAACCAAGCAATTTTTAAATAAACAAACATAAACACTATTCTGAAATTCTTAACAAACAAGAATCAAATAAGTTTAAAAATAAACAAAGAACACAAAACAAATGTCTATTAGTTCAAATCTGATTCATTATAGCCCTAGTTTCAAACGGAACAGCGAAAGAAAGTTTGATGGGAGCACGAGAAACAGTAACCGTTATAGAAAGAAAAAAATCAGATGGAACTGCCAACAGGGTTTGAAGTGGTGTCACAGGACCCAAAGCTTAATTTTCCAACCTTTGATGGGTTATAGGATTTGTTAATTTGGTTATACCGATGCGATAACTTCTTTTACAATTAGCAGAAATAGAAATACACAAGTTTTGTTTGGTGCCTTTTCACATGATGGTGAGGTGGTGCAACAGTTGGAGCATGAGGAACTGAATCTCACATTGGAGGCATTCAAGGATTGTTGCACTTTGAGATTTGACCCACCACTATGCAGTAACCCTTTAGGTTAACTAGTTAACTTGAACTAGACTAGAACTGTTGATGAGTATCAGCGTCAATTTCAAGGGCTGTTGGCACTTGTTAGTACAATGAAGTGAACCAACAGGTCAAATTTTTCAATGCAGGATTATTGGACTCAATTAGGCTTGACGTGGAGATGCAAAATACCACAAACTTTGTATAGGTAATGAATTTCCCTAGTGACCATAAATAACACAAACTAGAGAAAATATTTTGGCACCAATGTCCTTTGCATTGAGAGTGAAGCATCTTTGAAATTAGAGTACATAAGTGATAAGCCATGTGAATTGTGCTGATTTATTGCCCTTTTAATGTTCCATATCATTGTTTAAATGTTGAAGTGTTTTCATTTCTAGGCCAACTATGCTTTCTTTTCCTTAATAAGTAGGATCCTTCTTGGTCTGCAAGCGGGGATGGACTGTTTTCAGTGAAATCTTGTAGAAAGGAACTCGGCAAGGTGTCTGGGGAGTCCGATTTATGGGTAAAAGGGGTGTGGCAAGGTTTATCTCCTCCTCGTGTTGAAGTCTTCCTGTGGCAGCTAGCTCATCAGAAAGTGGCAGTGAGAGAGGAGTTGGTGAAAAGAGGTTTGCAGCTAGGGGATGAAATTCTATGTCCGTTTTGTAAAAAACAGGTGGAATCAGTTCAGCATTTATTTATTTCGTGTGATGTTGTTTGGGAACTTTGGAACAAGATAGCAAGCTATTGGGATATAGCCTTAGTCCTTCCAAAGGATCCACCTTCTTTGCTATGTTCTTGGGGTGAGCTGAGGGGGAAATCGTTGATTTGGAAATTTATCCCGGGAGTAGTATTTTGGTCGATATGGAAAGCTAGGAATGCAATGGTGTTCGAAGGTTCCCCCTTGGATAGGATGTCTCTGTTTTTTATTGCTAGATTCAGGTTATCTAAATGGTTTCTAGCCAAGTATCCTAAGTGTCCTATTCAGGAGGATGTGCTGATTGGTGATCCATCTCTTGCAGATGGTATTAAAGCTCTCAACATTTACAATTTTCAGGTTTCTCGCTGGATTCCACCCCCTATGGATTTTTTGAAGATGAATGTCGATGGAGCTGTTAGACTTGATGGCTCAAATGGAGGTATAGGAGATATTTTGAGAGATTGGAATAGCAACTCCCTTCTGACTTTTTCAGAAAATGTAGGTCAGGGTCCCCCGCCGGGTGCTGAGTTAAAGGCTATTAAGAGAGGCATTGAAATCTATATGTCTTCTTGTTGGGTTAAGGTTGGAAGGTTGATTGTGGAAAGTGACTGTAAGTCGGCTGTGGAATGGGTCCATACCCCAGCTTTGGCCCCTGTTTTTATCCTCCCATTAGTTAAAGAGATTTCATCTTTTATCTCGGACAGGGTGCACTCAATTAGACTGATTCCAAGGGTGTGTAATGGGGAGGCTGATAGTTTAGCAAAGATGGGAATTGGTTGATGTTTAGTCGTTTCCAGTGCGTTTTATCGTTTGAGTTTAGGTTTTTGGTTCTGTTGAGTAGCTTAGTCTGTTGTGTTTTTTCAGTATGGTGTTTATGTTAAATCTTATGTAATTTCGGAGGAGTAATAAAGTTTCTAAGGCACTCTTTTCCTCCTTTGATCAAGGAGGTTTTTAAGGAGGCTTGTCATTCTTATCAAAAAAAAAGTAGGATCCTTATCTCATGGTTTAGTGACATTTTGAAATTCTGACTATAGGCAACTATTTATGCAAGTAAGCAGCTCATTAGACCAAATACCTCCCTTCATGATTTCTTTAAATTTTCAAAACTGGATTCTGGTTTCCCGTAATGGATTCTATAATATTAGCATCCTTGTGGTTACAGTTACCTATATGTAATCGCTAAATTTAGTATAGCAGTCACCTAAGTTTAACCTTGCAATTGATCATGATTGTTTACTTTGGCCTTTGAGTGGCGACAGCAGTGGTATAATTTGCCGTTACATTCTAATTGCTGTTTATAAGTAATTTGCATCTGATGTTATTGTCCGAGATGTATTTTCTTTGACTTTCCATAGTTGTTTGATGTTCCTCTTCATTACATTTTCAATTCTTGTAAATCTCGAGATAGTTGAATGAACTTCTCTAACAAGGGCCTAAGAGGTAAGCACGGCCATTCATCTGTTTAAGGTTTGCCCTGGTAAATATGTCTGGGATTGTATCTTGGTTCATTTTGTAGTTGTGATGAAAAAAAAAAGCTCTGCTTATGTTCCAAATGAGTGAACAGAAAAATATCTCAAGTAACTCAACAGTAACATTGCATATAACCAGTAGTGATCCTTTTGAACTTTTAGGTGCTTCAAACTCTACTAAGATATATCTGGAGTCAACTCTGGATTATACATCAAGTGGCATTGTGGGCTAAAACTTTCAGACTTCCATCCAAGAGTTCGATAGTTTGATTTTATAGCTATATGGTCTCGTTCAATGTTTTAACATCTTGCACAGTATGATATTGTGCTGAATGGCATTTGTAATTTGATATTTGCACTTGTGATCTGGTGGCGATGTACTGCTAGGTTTTTATGGTAGGGTGACTGTTAGTGTTCTCTAGGGGATCTAGTATTGCAAAAGGTTTGGATGTCTGTTTGCTTTTCCGAAATTACGCATGCCATGGATGACTTGGATAAATAAAGTGTAATTTTAGTTTCGGGTTTAGTTTTCTGTTTAATTATTACAATTACTAAACTGCAGCATAGTAGAAGAGTGTGTAACATGTGAGGCTAGTTGTTACTGTAGATTAGGATTGCTAGAAGAAGCAACTTTTTCACTTCCCTCATTGAGCACTGACTGGTTAGCCAATGGTTACTATTCTTTTGTTGTTAAAATGGAAACTGAATTTGGATGTTTGGGGTAAGAAACGTTGCAGCCGATTACTCTGACCGGTCCACATTGGCCTATATGGAATTATTTGCTTCTAGCCGTTAGGGTTTATGCCTTTATGGTTTTAACGTCAAAAGGTACTCGGTAGATTAAAGATGGTGGGAACACATCATATGATTTGGCAAATAATTAAATTGAAAAAAAAGAAATTATATGTCAATAGAATGTTCAACTGAAGTCAATTTTTGAGAGGTAAGTTTGAGATTCAAATTATAGTATTTCCATTTTCGTTTCTTCCCTCTTCTGAAGCTTGGGATTCAAGTCTACTAGTTCATGGTGACTACTCTTGATGAATGCTGAGAAATTCAGTCAAACTCTCTTTCTAAGCCCAGTGGTAGTGTTATTAATATGCTGCTTCCGTTGAGAAAATATGTTACGAGATAAAGGTTAAAATATGTATCGACTACTTTTTTTTTTGGGATTAATCAAGGATAAATACAAATTAATATTTGTTTAATGATAACTCTTAATCATATGATATTAAACACTCACACCCTTAGTATTCATGATGCTCGAACCAGAACCTCAATAGATAACAATAATTCTTTTACTACCGAGGTTGTTTGTTTCATCTATATGAAATTTAATCATTTTTTTATTTGTTTTTTTTTTAACTTTTCTCACGCTAAATTATTAGAAAAATGTTTTTTTGTTTAATTAAACAATTTCTTGAACATTTACAAGCTATTCTCTGCAACTTCCCTTTAGTTGAAAATCTTAAAGGCTATCAAGATGCTTATAATTCTTGTATCCAAAATAAGAAATATCATCAGGTTCAAATTTTTAATCATGTTTCCTCTCTCAAAAATGAATTCAAAGGAATGCCTGAAGGAGAGCGAGCAGAGAGAATCGGCCTCTAAAAATTTCAAATTAACATATATTTTAGATATTTTCTCCGTCATAAACCTAAAGAGTGGAAAGAAAAGCTCACTTCCTTCTTCTCTATCGATATTTAAAATTTAACCTAAACAGTCAACTAACAAGATAGTAAACTTCAAAATATAGTCGTGAATTACACAACTGGTATTATTTCCGGAATCAAAATCTATTTTTTAAAATTTATTTTCTTCCACAATAGACGAGGTTTACTTGGTAAACTAGAATTCCTAAGTAACGAGCTTAGGATAACAATCTTTATTTTGAAAGATAAACCAATCATCACCACCATTGGCAGTCTTTTAAGTGGCAGAGCATACATCACTTTTGCATGTAATACTTGTCAGTTATATAGAATAGTAGGCTTACATGATGCTTCCAATCATTTCCGCATTACTGACATGGTCCTGCTGCTTCTACAAAGCTATCGCCGCTGTTTCTCGACTCAGTTGCTTTACATCTTCACCACGAGGATACGATCGGCCGCTCCCCGATATGAGATCTTTGATGGTGGCTTTAAGCTCTTTATCCTCCATCAAGGATTCCATTGTAACATGAACACCTGAGTTAGAAGCAGGATTAAGAGTAAATAATGTTGAGAGTAATATCATATCAAACCAACTTAGAAGAATGTCAGGTGGAATGAGTTACGTACGGTATCTCCAATAGTGCTTTGGATTTGTAGGGTCATTTATCGTCTCCTCTGCGGCTGGGCGAGTCGTGTACTCTTCTTTAAGGGCTAACAAATCCTGATCATGAAACCTACGGTTTTAGACACTTCTATACCAGACATTGTAATGCTTGCAAGAAAAATACAAGTAAAAAACATGTATTTTAGTTTGTTCGGCATCAACTTGGGTTTCAAGAGGCTGCTACCAACTTTTTATCACAGACCTGAAGGGGGAAAATTGCCCACATCGATGGAGCTTCAACATGCTGCCTTATGAAGAAGTGTACCACATCTGGAACACATCGATCTAGCGGTAACCCATCACACCCCATCACAGAGTTGAAAAACCGGCGCCGTCTCTCTTCATCTTCTTCCCACCAGGCACGCAGGGTAGAACAGTCATGACATGATGGAGCGCATACCTGAAACATATTGTCATACTCAATTCTTAATAAATCATTTCTTTTATGAGAACCAATTTAAATGCATAGAGTAAAGGAAGGAATCAGTAGAGTTCAGCGAAGCTTAGAGATTAGGGAACATAAGAAAAAGAAAAAACTTGGCTAGCAAGATATTACATGCTTTAGGGAGCAAATATCACTTATTATCCCTCCTCCATACGTTCAGTCTATCATATATTTCAATGAAGTTTAGAATCATACTCAAGCCAATAGATCATATGTAAGAAATCACTGAAAGGAATAGCCATTTTTTTTTGCTATAACCATCCGGTATCCTATTGACATACTGATTTGGATTTGGGTACTGCTGAGATCCATTATGGGGATTCTCCCAATCCAGCTTGATCCATTCAAGCTGACATGATTTGAACTCTATATGTTGTGTTAACAGAGATAATGCCTCATCGACCAATTCGAAAAATCCAACATAAAGTTGGCCCAAACTCACAAATCATGGGACCTTGAACAAGGCTTCCGCGTTTTCCATCAAGACAAAGCTTCAATGGCTCTTTCTAATAGTAATCCTTGATGATACATACCATCACTATGCAGATGATGTGATACTGTCTTTAGTGTTGATAATAATATACTTGCACCATATTTTTAGGCATAGTAGCATTAAGTTCCTATCCAGTATTGATACAACTGGAGTAAGACGACACTTTCATTACACCAGAAGGAAATGTCGCAGACACTGTTCTGTCCAATGAAGCTAATTCAGGCATGCCATATTTTTCAGCATATAGTTTGACACATGTCAGTCTACTTTTCACAACCTTTGGTATATATCTTTCATTGTGCAAAAGTGGATGTGGATTACTTTAGAAGTTACATAAAATAAATTATCCCAATATTTCCCCTGCCACGTGACACTTAAAGTGCAATTCATATCAATGTGATTTTGGCTCTTACCGTCATGTAGCTGTACTGAGAAGGAATACCGAATTCAAGATCTGGTTCACTGGGCATTCGTTGAATACGCAAGCCAATTAGGCCAAGTTCTTGCATAACCTGCATTTAGAAAGAAAATTACAATGAAGGAATATATTCAAAGTATAGGAAGTGGAGAGGGAGGGGACAGCCAGGCTGAGAATGGGAAAGGTTGAAAACATACAGGATGAACACATGCGGGAATAAGGCCCAGATCTTCCCCACAAGCTAGCATATTTGACGAATTCAGGAGCACAGGTAGGGTCTTTAGAGCATTTTGCCGCCACAACTTTTCTTGCCGTTGGAAATAGTAATCATAATACAATCTCTTCAGAACATTTTTGCTATATAACGTGACAAACAGTTAGAGGTCAATGATTAATGAGTTTTCAAGAACAAAAAAGGCTTTAAACAGAATAAATTAGGATTTTGAATACGTAACCAAGAAAAACTGACGCAATATCCTCATACTACCTGTGATCATCAAGATCTACAAAACTAGAAGTATCTTCAAGATTAAAACGGGGATAAAAACTTCTTGCATGTTCTGGATCTCTGATAAGAACTATGTTCTGCATAAGAATTTGGTTGAACAATTAAGTTCAAGATTAGGACTAAAAAGTATTGAACATCCAAAAATTGAAAAGAAAAAAAAACTCAGAGGTTCCAGCACATGCTTCTTATTTGACAAAGACAAATGTGCTGAATCTATATCAATTGATCTGTTGGACGTACTAGTTTTTACCTAAAATGCAATTTGTATGTGAACCATGATGTTTTATAAAATACTTTAACTATCTTCAAGATTTATACTGAAATAGAGATTTCTTGCATCCTCTGAATTGGAAGAACTATGTTCTGCAAAAGGAATTGATTGGACAATGAAGTCTAATAGGATGAATAAAAAATGGAACATCCAAAAGAGAAAGAAGAAAAAGGACCTCAGGTTTGGTGCATGCATCTTATTTGACAACAAGAAGTTTCCGGGAATAATCAATATCAAAGAATCCTTATGACATAACAGCTTTACTTGACATGCAGTTTGCTGGTGCACTATTATGTGTTAGTTCTTCTTAACTAAATAACAGAATATACAAGTTACAGTAGTAAAACAAGCATTCTGTCAATTTTGTGCTCTAATAATTGTTTTCAACAATAAAATTGTATGTAATTATTCTATCTTATATGATACTTTGTTAAGTTGACTAAGCTTTAAGATTTATCACTTCATGAAGGATTGTTTTATCCTGATAGGATAACTCTATTAGTCAACAGACATTATTTTTATTAATAATAAGAACGACATAATTGGAATTCAACTATAAGTAAAAGCACAATGTAGTCTTCAAAAATATTTTTGCCTCATAAACATGTTTGTATAAAGTATAGATATAGATTATACTACCTTTAGAAGATCAAATAGATCACGACGTATCTTATCTTCATTGTCTGGCAACAAGGACCTTTCTGCACATGACTTAAGCTTGGCAGCAATTTTTTTCTCAGTGTTGCAGTCCTCCTTGAACTAGAATTTCATGGAAACAACAAAATTGATTGAAAGTAAATTCCGAAAACCTGATCTTCAAATTAACAACACTTATACCATGAACTCGTTAAAAACCAAATGGTGACAACTAACTCAATGAAGGATGCCGATTATGATGCATTTTAGCAATAGAAGTAGATGTTTCACAACAAAAACAGCTAAAAGTACTCTCAAATAACAAGAGGAATCAATGGGAGAAAAAGTCCTAAACTTTTCAGAATAAACCAGAGGATCTATTGTCCATTAAAATTCACCAATCTCATTGTGCATTTGTCTTTTAATATTTAGTTTCAGAATGTTTGTTTACAGGATATATCTCATAGATTGACAGTGTAGGAGAAATTACGTTTTCTTAAATCGATTCCCTGAATGTCAAAATTCAAACAGATGAACAAATCGACAGGAATGAACCGGCAAGCAATTTACTACCAGATAAAACTCCAGAAAAAGAAGTAAAATTGTAAATGGTTAACGAAGGAGATATTCACAGGTAATTCAATCTAGTGATGAAAAATTAATATAACTATGTATTAAATGCATTGTATTTTGGAATCCACCAAAGAAAATGGAAATTCTAACTACAGTTGATATGCATCATTAAAGAAAAGAATTCCATGATTTGATTTCCTGAGACATGTTAATCAAAATATTTGCACACATTAATAATCATATTTTCTCAAATCCTGTTGAATCCCATCTTGTTCATTCATTTGAAAATTAATCAACATAGCCAACAATATCAAAATGAATGAATCCATAAACAGTTGGTAATTAGCATTTCCTTTCTCCAATTAGGTGAGTCAACATGGTCATTCAAGGTTCAAAAAGTTGGCATGAAATCACTTAAACAGACAAGTTCAAGAGGCTGAAAAAAGAAGAAGAAAAACTACCAGAGTTGAGTGAAAGAATGAAATAAAATACACACGCATATAGCAATTAGAGTATGACCATCACCTCATATCGGTCCAGATACTGGTCAAAAAAAATTGCAGCAATCAAAGTCCATGAATCTCCAAATTTTTCCTGAAATCAAAGAAAGAGAAATATGCATATGTTACTTTCTGATACTAAACTGGTTTTTAGAAAAGTGTTAATTTTGGAATCTAACATTTACCAAATTCTTCTTTTTATATTCCACCTATCATTTCTCTCAAGTTAGTTTTGAACCTTATAGATCTTATACATTAGGGGGAAATTGATGAAAATGTTTAGACGGAACCAGCTGATGCAAATCCATGTTACAGGTTACCACCAAATACTAACTATTCATAATCACACTTTTTTCACGAAGGATATAATCGAAATGAAACGTTCTGATTTGAAAGAAAATTGACCATCTTCAAAGTGAACATTTGGTTAACATAAAATGAAAAAGATATTTAGCCAATTAAAAACGCACAAAGTCCATATTCTCCATGAGACACTAATTTGAAACACAAATGTATTTTTTCTCTACCTCTAAAAACTCTTTTCGAACATAAGGGCGTGCCAATCGATCAAAGTCCCATATACCCTCTCTTTCAAGTTCTTCCTGAAATCGAAGCATTATTCAGTTACAACTAGAGCAATTTGATTCCCCTTAGTTGTTATATACCAGAAGAACCTTTGCATACTTCAAGGAATTGTAATTTTGTTACCTGGCTTAGAGGGATAGATGGACGGAACTTTCCAATTAGACCAGTCATAGAATGGTCTGGGAGTTCCCAAATTCTAAAGAAGCCTAAGATATGGTCTATCCTATAAGCTGTAAAGTACTTTCCCATCTGCAATGGAAGCAAAGAAAATTATAAAAATTTCAGCAAAAAAGAAAGAAAGAAAGAAAAGACATACTCTGTCCTTAAAACAGCATTAAAGCAAACAACTTATTGATTTTGGGGTAAAAGTTAAGAAGAAACTGCAAACGAAAAAAGGAAATAGAAAAACCTGTGTAAGGCGAGTACGCCACCAAGCATAGTTGTCTTTGGACATTTCCTCCCAATTATAAGTAGGAAACCCCCAATTCTGGCCATTTTTGTCAAAATAATCTGGAGGAGCCCCAGTAGAGGTGTTCATGCGGAACAAATTTGGATAGACCCAGGTATCAACACTATTCCTGTCAACCCCAATAGGAAGGTCTCCTTTCAAAACCACCCCTTTACTTATTGCATATTCTGCAGCTTCTGACAACTGTCCATTAAATTAGACAGTAATAAAACACCAAATGAGTATTTTATTGAACCAAAACAAATAGAAAATAAAACAGTGATTATACACCAAAACACACATACATATAATATATATATATATATACAGACAGATGCAAACCATATTGAAATTAATTTAACTTACCTGCAAATGCAAGTGGAACTGCAGATAAAAATGAAAGCAGATGGTATCATAGTGCAAAGCATCTTTCGTGACAAGTTTCTCAAGCTGATGAAAAGGAGAGTGAAAATTCTTGTAATAAATGTTAAGAAATAGACACTTGTATAAGTAATAAAGTCAAAGGTGGAAAAAAAGAATAGTTAAAACTTTGAATGGATGGACAGGACAATTTTAACTTTATTCCTCCAAGCTCAAATCAGAAGTTAAAGTTGAAGTTAGACGGATCTTTACCTTGTCCTTAGAATAACTAGAAAAACGACCCCATTGACTGTGATCAGATGTTTCAAAAAAGTCCCGCAAGAAACAGAAAGCAGCATACGGTTTTAACCATTCCTTTTACCAATTAAAAGTACAGTCAGAATAGTCATGATATGTTTGAAATTAACAAACTTGGTAATTTGTAGGCAATCAAAAGTTGACAGACCTCATTCTCAGAAAAATATTTATGGAAGGAACTGCTGTTCAGTATCAAATCCTTTTCTTTGAGGAAGACTTTCTTGGCAATTGACAATTTGGTAGCTAGAGTAGCCTCATAATCAACATCCTGCATACACAGAATGTACAGTGTTAGAATCTTTATAATCATAAATGTGGAAAACATAATTACTCAACTATTATGGGAACATGAAAGACCTTGGTGTGCTCATCAGTCAATTACCATAGGATAGTTAACAACCTCTAACATCCATCACCTTATTTTCCAGAACTGTTTTTCTGGCAATCCCATTGTATATTTAAAACAAGCAGAAATCAAGTAAAATATATTTCCTCAAACAAAAAAATTAGAAAATAGTAGAAGGGGGTTACCTTTCTATCTAGGCGTTCTTTGGCATTTCTAATCTCATTCTGAAAGGAAAAGAATTAACATGGTAATTTTAAAGATACAAAGATCTATCAGTAACACGAAATTAAATAATTAATGTTGAACAGGCTGTCATTCTACCTTGATATCCTCTGGCATATTTTTTGAAAGGGCTTGTACTCTCAGGTACAATGGATGTAAAGCAAACACGGACAATGAACTGGCAAAGAAATAAAAGAATACTATTGAAAATTTAGCATTGGAATATAAGACTCAGTAACCAATAATAAGCACTCTTTTAAAGCAATCAATGCATTTAATGGTTTCAAATAAGATACAATCCTACTCCTGTTGAAAGGTGGAAAACAGGAGAAACTAAAATCAGAAAGAAACTGCAACCTGAAAATGAATATAAGTGGATGCAAACAGAGTTGTTGAGCAGAAAACATACAGTAGTTTACAAGTTTAAATTGAACATATCAGCTCTGGCCTTCCAGAATGTAAATATAAAAGGTGGGAGAACTTCTAGTGAGGAACTAGTTTGAGCCTGCTATCTACTATCACATTTGCAGGGTTACCTGTATGGATATGAATCCCACCACATCCCATGTACAGATGTATCATTGATAGGTAGAAGCTGAACTAAATGGAATCCAGACTCCACTGCCCAGTCAACAAGTAACTTCAAGTCAAGGAATTCTCCAACACCAAGATCAGCTTCTGAGCGGACAGAGAACATGGGAATAGCAACACCAGCACCTCGCCAAAGCATTTCCTACAATCCCGATTGATGCACAAGTACCATCAAGACCACTTCAAAAGTTCATCATAGTATTCACTTAACAATTAAGGTATCCTCAATTTTGTACCCTCAGCATGCCATCTGAAAGAAAAATGTACTGCCGCTGACTTTTACTGAAACCAACACAGAGCTCCCTAGGTGAAGAAATTTCCAATGAAAGACTTCCATTCTTGCCATATTTACAGTACTTATAAGTGGAAAACTTGTCAAGGAAGAGAAAAGGATGTTTGGAACACAAGGACCAAAATAAACAAACTAGAGAACTATATAAAAAGAATACCTTTAAATTAGAATAACATATCTAAAAAAAAGGATATCTTATTGGAAAATCAACCCTTGGAATTAAACAGTATGCTTCCCAGATATATTCACCAGTATAATGCAGCTTTAGTCCATCCTGAACCTTCCATTGCCCCAACTTCATAGTGCTACCAATCACATAAACCTGTGCAATAGTCCAGCATCATGAACGGATGCAGCTAAAAGACTTATGGAACATCAACCGAAATTTTAAAGTAGCAATTAATCACCCTAGAACTCCTTTGGGAATAAGAATACGAACCAAAGTGCCTTCTTCTACATTTGGACAGCAGATTTTAAAACGTACAAGGATTGAATCTGTATCAAATTCAAATTTCATAACAATAATGGATTAGCTCAATTCCAATCCACCCTCCTCTATAGGAAATAAAAGGAGAGATGGTGCAATACCTTCCTGATCCAATTTGTCCTGAAGGACTACTTCTGGACTATTAATATTTGAGGTAGATGTTTTGCAAAATATGACATCTTTAAAGGCGCTTCTGAATGGAAGAGCATCACTGCCAGTCTGGATTTGTTAATACAAAATTTGACAATCAGTTCCAAATGTCAATATACCATCCATTACAAATACAAGAAAGCAACCTTTGAAAAATAACAGTTCTTCACAAAAAACCAAAATTGTTCAAGAACTATCTTAAAGATATATGTTAGCATCATCTTTCATACTGAACCCTTCTAACTAAACCATTTGATACATGACAATAGGCTCAAGAAAATAGAACCTTTAGGAAAGGTAAGATGATAGAAAATAAATTTCACAAAATTTGGATCAAGTTGGCTCATAAAAAGTCCAGACTCCAGATTGACGTTGATAAAGCAATATTCATTAGCAAAGAGTGTAGCTGTATCCTGAGCATTAACATTAGCGATGGCTTGCTATGCAGCCATCACATAGACCAAAGATCAAGACTTAAAAACAAACAGAGAACTCCAGTGACATTCAACTTTGTCCTACATCATAGAACCCTTCAACCCAGTGGTCCTTTATTTTCAGTTCGCAATATTTCTCAGAATTGCTATATGTTCACTGGACTTGATTGGTTAAAAAAAAAAGAATACATAAAATCCAAGATCAAAAGGCATGCAGATACGTTCAGATTCAACCTTGCCAGAACATAGCCCGAGATTAATACTGACACCTCTGATCCATTTCCCAAAAAGAGGCAGAAGAATATGGAAAAAGGAAAACCTAGTAGCTTAAATTTTTACCATTTAAAGTCCAGGAAGGTGAAGATATAATTGTTATTTGAAATAGATAAAGGATGCAAAGCTGCCGAACTACAGAGGAAAATGACGGAAAAGAGGCAGAATTGCCCAAGATATATGCATGAAATAGCTTAAACTTTATTGAGTCCAACAATAAAATCAAGAATAAGTTGCAATAGTTTGTTCCATCAGCATAAACTAAAAGATTTCTTGTACTGTTATAACTGGTCAAAGCTGAATGCATCCAAAACAGAAAACCAACCAACCCATAGTAGGATAAAAGAAAAGGGTTTTTATTGGCGACTTTCCTACTTTCACTGATAAAACTGCTGTTTTGCAAGCAACTGAAAAGAAAAATAGGGAATTAGAGGAACATTTGCCATTGAATTGATTTATAATGCCAAATTCCGGCTTAACTATTTGTTTACTCTATACTTCCACAGGTACAAGTGCAGAACAACAAAAAACTGAGTAAAGTATAAACATAAAATCCGATATCAACATAGTCTAGAAAAAAGCATATCAGTCTTCCGGGTCAGAAGATCTACAAAAAAAGAATATTGATACCAACAAAGTACTGATATTAATGTAGCTACTGCTTTTATATGCACTTTCCAACCAAAGAAAAAATAAGTGTTTTAGAATATTCATATGGAAAGAAGCTAAAAAAGTGGGGGAGGGAGGAATCAAACGAGAGTAACACCTGCCAAAAATCATGAAGATCAACAATTTGACCCTCCTGACAAAAAGGAGGCAAGGACAAGCTACGCTTGTTTTCCATCTCCCATCTCAGCACATTTCTGGCATCATCCACCACATAATAACGGTAGTCGCAATTGAACTGAACTGGCACCGCAATGGTTCCGGTCCAAATGAGCTCGTCCCCTAGATGAACAGGGCTCAGCAGCAACCCTTTCTTAATGTTCCACGAACCAAGCATTGGTTCGGAGCCGCACACCAACAGGGATTGACCCCATTCCGTGTAATACGGTATTCTGAACGTGATTTTCACAGACTTTGTTGATGAAGACAATCCCGAATACCCCATCTCTCCCTGAAATAAATTACACCCAGAACCAAAACCAAACACTATTTCCCAGATTATGGAAAACTAAACAACAAGCTGAAATTAAGTGGTCTAATATTTCGAATTCACATAAATGAGGAATAAAAAGAAAGCTGTGTGTGTGTGTGTGTGTGAGAGAGAGAGAGAGAGAGAGAGAGAGAGAGAGAGAGAGAGAGTCACCTTTGCTTAGATTGAAAGTTGGGCAACAATCTTGAGTGAAAAGCAATGGTGGTGAAGAATTAGCAATAGAAGTAGAGACGAGAGGAATCTGGAGAAGAAGAAATTATCTCTTTTATCATTTAGTGAGAATGGTGGATGTGTGGTGTTTGGGAAAGAAAAGAGAAGCGGTGCAAATCTGAAAATTGCAATTTGCAATTACAATCATCACGGGAGAGGCGACACGTTACTTTGGTCAACTTCTTTTTCTCTTTTAGCAAGCATCGTGTGGCTCGATCTGATATTAATACGCAGATTAATATAAACCGTGTAATATCAACCCAAAAAGTATAAACCGTCAAATCTCTCTGCCAACAAAAAAACAAACTATCAAATCATCTTCTTGTTCATTTTTCCTAAAAAAAATTATAAAATATAGGATTAACTCTTATATTATGAACTCAAATATCACCTTTAAAAAGTTAATCTTTATTTAGCAGTTTTTCAGATTAATTTTTGAATTAATACCTCTTTTTATCGTGTAATTTTCAACAATAAATTCTTCGGTGAATGAGTTTATAAAATGGTGATCATTTTATTGATTAGATTGACTTTATTAACTGTGATAGAGAAGTGTAACTATCAAGTATGATGAATATGAAATAAATATCGAATTTGACATTACGTGTGTATAATAATCTTGTGACGAATTCGATTCAGATCAAACATAATAGGGTGAATATTGTATTGGTGTCATCGATTGTGTATATTATGTTATTTTGGATATTGCTTCTGAGGATAGTTGGAAGGGTTCATTCTTCTTTGATTAGTTAAGGGACGATGATGTTGATTCGATAGACATTTATCCTTATATCAATGAATAGGTATAGTTCGTTCTTTATCCTTATATTATGTTATTTTGGATATTTCTCGTGTTATATGAATCATCTCATGAAATCACTCAAAACTGTCATATCAAAACTTAGAAAAAAATTTATTTTTATTTCAGATTAATATTTTATATAACAATCTTAAAACAGATTTTAGTTTTTATTTTTTTATCCGAGAGGAAATCGATACATATTTTTTAAAAAAACAAGACGAAGTAAATAGGGCATGAACATATGACTGGCGTGCAGAGAAAACCTATCACACTTCAAGTCAATAAAGTGTTCAAGCCTATCACTAGAACACATTTTGGAATCCTAAATGTACGTAGAACCCAAAATTACAAATTGCATCAAAGGTAACCCCTTTTCCTGGCCATCTCAAGGAAAGGTAACGCCTTTTTCATTTGAATCCATATATATATATATATATAATCGTCACTAATAAATGCTATGTGGAGAAAGAATGGATATGCTCGTAATAAAAGTATGCTATTTGATAATGTATGTGTATTGTATCGGATTATCAATTCAGGTTTGCAATCTGGAAATTCATATTTTTCAAGAGTTTGTTGCACATGTTAATGAGACATTGTTTGCAAATCTATTGTGTCGTTAATTTGTTTAAAATTGATATGGGGTAACATGTTTATTTTTTGCCATTACAAATGCCTAATATCCATTTCTTTGCACGCGCCTTGAGCCTTCCTTTGTGGTTCTGCACTGTGGCTTTAATCCATAATTTGATGACTCGAGCTTAGATCGCAACCACGAAATTAACGAATTTCGATCAAGAATTCAAAGAAGTGTAATCTTCGATTTTTTTAATTTTTTTATTAGAGATATATTTCTGTTTTGGAATTTAGTTTACTAAATTCTCATTGTTTAATAGAAGTTGGTTCCATTTCAGATTTTAATTTATTAAATTTCCGTCGTTCAACAGAAATTGATTTTGTTTCGAGTTTTAATTTTACAAAAACATGGCGTTTAACATATTCAACAAAATAGTGTTGATTGTGAATTTCTATTTTGGTTTTTAATTTTACTAAATTCTCGCCCTTTAACAGAAATTACTCAATTATTAGATTTTAATTTTTTTTGGAATAAAATGTATGTATTAAATCCAAATAAAAACAAAGCAGCAAAGTGCAACAATCAACAAACCAACCAAACCAAAACCTATAAGCCCACACTATACAACCTTATACAGTCCTTGATATAGTCCTCCTAATTAGTTTCACATGCACAATTTCCTCAATACAACCAAGCAATTCCTCATCATTTCTATAAAACTTTCTAAAGTTTCTTCTATTTTTCTCTTCCCCAAATAAAATACATAAAAGCATTCCAAGTAATCTTAAACCTAAAAGAAGAAATAGAATTACCCTTCCCTTTTGAAAGTGCCCGCTACAACTCATTTTCCCAACCGAGGCTCCCACGCCGCAATCCCCACCAAGCCAAAATGGTCTTCTAAACACTTACCAAAAAATTACATTCAAAGAACATGTGATTTCTAGACTCCTCTGCCACTCCACATAAAACGCACACACCCTCCAAAATTATACCAATGCGTCACAGTTTGTCTTTAGTAGCCAGTCGATCCAACAACGCCAACCAAGAAATATGTCTAGGAATGTGAAGAGGAAACCATACTAGCTTCTGCCATGGAACCATATTCTTTTCACCTTCAACTCCTACCAAATCCACCTGGTCCGAACAGGGGATGAACCAACAGCTCCAAACAAGGGCCTTACAATATCCCTAAGGCCTCGTTTGGTTCATGGAATATTTTATTCCTGGGAGTAATCTTTTTTTCCGGGTTAAAGATGCCCACGTTTGGATGGCCACATTCCCAAATGAGGGTAAAAACTGAATACCAATAGTGGTATCTTTTTCCTGTTTTACTGGGAATGTTAATCTCTCATCTTCCTTAGGTATTTATTTATTCCCATCCCCGCTCTCTAAAATACCATTCTCCCCGCTTGCTTCTGGCTGAAACAAAATCTTCTTCTTCGATTTGGCAAGAGTTGCTGCGAGGAGCTGTCCATTACTACTTTGGTTCCCATTTTCATTTCCTAGCCTGGGTTTCTTTGGTTCTTGTTTTCTTTTCCGTGTACCATCAGGGGAAAAACTCGTGTGCATTTGTCACCCGGCGTAGCTTCTTCTTATTGTTATCATCGAAGCAACAAATCCAAGGTAGTGACAAAAGGAAGAGAAAGAGAGGCATGGTAGATCTCTTCATATGGTTTTTTTCTTTCTTCATCCTTGTTGCCCTCCTCGTTATCCTCGTATTTCAGGTCAATCCCCCTTTTCTAATCTTTCTTCTTTTCTGGGCATTTCTTTCTCTATGGTGGGTATTGATTATTTTTGTAGATTCTTTATTTTATTTGTGTGCATTTATCTGGGTATGTTGAATTTCGTTGAACAAAATGGTATGTTGTTTGGTGATTTGGGGTTGAAGTTTTGATTCTTGGAATCAAGTTTGAAAACTGAAATATATATATTGTTTAACGCATTGATGATGTTATTGTTCATCCATATTTGTTCTGTGGCAAAATCAGCCAATTACGGATGTGGGAAAATTTTCCCAAAATAGTGGTAGTCGGAATATATTTTTTCAAGTAATTTTTATAGTATGTCGGGGAAGATGCCAGAATTATAGGGCGTCTCCTACACGACGGCGATGGCTTGGGAAGTTCACGCTCTTATTAAAGTTTAAATCGAAGGAGAAGTCTCATCCATGTGATCTTTGTCCTAATTCTACTAAAATTCTTGTTTATGGTAGAGATTATATCTAACATGTCCAAATACCTGCAAAACATAAATTTCTGATAAAATATCGACTTGTAAATTAAATTAGGGCACAGAAATATAAGAGAATAAATACAATTTATATGCAATTCTATGATTTATCATATATGTTGGACTGGCAACCTTTGTCGATCAGGAATTATACCTCTGTCTGGTCGATCAATTCTATTTAGTCCCGACTTTGAGAGCTCGTTTGATGATGTGATTGATGAGTTTTGGGCCTTGTGGCTCTTAAGATTAACTTTTAACCTATCCAAAGATATTCATCAAAGGATAGTTAAATAGCTTAATATAGGTAGCATTGGAACCTAATGAAAATTGAAATTTTCTTATATGCCTATACCTTGCAGGAAACCCATTGCAGTTAATACACATATTGATGAGTAGCTTATTTTTTGTTTTGTTTACCTCTTGCTCTCTCTTGGTTTAAAGACTTATCCCTTGAAGCACTAATTGTAAAGAAAATCTGATTCATCTTATGGGAAATGTTTATCAATAGATGGAAACAATATAATTTGGAATGCTTAGTTTTGCAAGTCAAAAACAATATTATCACTCTCTTCTGCCAAGTTAGATGGATTCGAGATTCTCATTTTGGTTACAATTTGATAGGTTGTCAAAGCCTTAAAAGATAATTCTTGTTTAAAACAAACTTTGTGCTTTTGTTAAGAAGTATCGAATCCACATAGAAAAGTGAGCCTTGTGAATAATAAAACTAGTAGACTATAATTTGTTGAGTAGTGCTAAAATCATGGATGCTTTAGGTTGTTTACCTAACTTACTCCTGTGATCAATTACACTCGAAAACAACACCTGGTAGATGTTACAAAGATATTCAAATTGCTTCATTGGGAAAAGAAGAAATGAATTTGTAAACTCGTGTATGTCGTCGTTCTCATATTCTTTGATGTATTCTGGTATTTTTTGTCTCGCTAACAGTATACGAGATGCTCCCTGTAAACATATATATATATATATATTTATCTTTAGTGCTAACTGGGAACTTTCATGTGCTTTTGACAGGATGATCTACACTGCATTAGAAGATGTCAATGATTAACCGAAGATGAGGATGGCTTCTTTTTTAATTTAATCTTGAAACTATTTGTTGATCTAAATACTTGCATTTGGCTGTTGTTTTACAATCTTTGTTCAACTTGGTTTTGTTGTAACTGATATATAGCATAAATTTCAAGGTTGTATGATTGTGATGATTTCTAGTTTAGTTTTATATACTCAGTTTGTCTCTTTCTTCTGAATTTGCTAACGGATGCAGGAGTGAACTATAAAAATTTTAAGAGATGATGAACTTATAAAATTTTAAGCGTAAAATAAATTATCAATTGAAATACAAAGAAAATATAAAAAATATAGACTAATTTGAAGTTTTAAGGGGACGACTCTCCCCACCTGTCCTTGGTTCCATCCCTGAAAACA